CTCCCTGCCTTCCCAGTGAAGATCTGGAAGCAAGTCTTCACTTCTCATACTCACCTTCTCTACTTCTACCTACCCTTCTACCCACTGCAAACTGGCTTCTGCCCCCACCATTCCACTGGTGTTATTCTGGCCAACCTCACTAATGCACTCCCTCTTGCCAAGTCAAATGGCTTTCAGACATCATTCTGCATGACTTTGCAAAATTCGTTGATAATCATGTCAGCAGTGGAAATAGCCATCACTGACAATGTATGTTGCGTGCATTTACTGCTGAGCACGTGATGCTGCACACTCTCCTAGGCATGTGGCGTGCATGGTCTCACAACCATCTTTTAGGCCGGTGCTTTAATTCTCTATTTGGAGTCAGGTAGACCTGAATGCAAATCTCTGCACTGCCGTCTTCCAGCTGTGTGATGCTACTCGGGCCTTGTAAGCTGGGTTTTTGCCTCTTGTCCTCGGCTCTCTACCGCTGGCCTCCTGCTTCTCTAACTCATCTGCCTTGGCCCCTTCCACTGTCTCCTCCTCCTCTCCCAGCACTTAGAATGGCCTCCAAATCTATCTCAACTCTGGCCTGTCTCCTAAACTCCAGACGTGCAGCTGTGTATCGGCCTCTCTCACCTGCGCGCCCAGTGGATATCTAAGAATCAGGAGGGCTGAAAGTGAACTACCTTTCCCTAAAAATCTGCTCTTCGTCTCACTGTACCTCACCTGTGTTTGTTCCTTCATTTATTCATCGAAATATGTATGCATGCCTACAAGGTGCCCTCCACGATTCTAGGCTCTGGGAGCACCTACAACACCACAAACCAAGTCCCACCCTTATTTCAGTCGGGAAGACAGACTAAACAAATGCGTCCATCACGTCAGCTAGTGAAGCCTGCTGCGAAGTAAACAAAAATGAGGCAGAGGGATAGAGGATGACACGTGTTGGATAGGCTGGCCAGGGAGCACCTGCCTCCCTGAGGAGCAGGGGAAGGATGGAAGGGTAGCAGTGCTTCTGCTCCCACAGTTGTTCAAGGCAGCAGTTTTCTGGGCATCTTCAACTTTGCCCCATATGCTCTACTTTCTCACAACCCATGTCTCTTTTATCCATCCTCTCCCCACTGTTCCTGGCTCAGGACTCAACACCTCTCAATGGGAGCACTGCACTGGATTTTGGTCTTTTACATTGAGTCTCAGCTCACCGTCAGAATAATCTTTCCAGGACACACATCTGTAAATGTCCTTCACTTGCTGAACACCCTCCTTGGTGTCCAGTTCCTATAGGCATAAGTCCCTGACCCCAGCAGAGTTCAAGTACCTCGTTTTCTGGTACCATCTTCCATTCCCACCTTCTCTCCTGCCACGTTCCCCAGGGAACACTCTGTGTTCTTCCCCACATCCCTGCCTGAGCCCAGGCTGTTTCTTTCCCTCAGAACACATTTCACAGCCCAGGCCCCAATTCTGAGCCAAACTGGACTGGCGAAGATTCCCTAACTGCCTAGTCAGAAGAGGTCACTTTTCCCCATCTTCCAGTTGTTCTCTGGGGGTGCCTCTGTTGTTTTGTATAAGGGTCTGCATTTCACTCGTTCAATACACATATGCCGAGTGGCCCCCGTGCACTGGACTGCACTGTCAGTGCCGTGGACACAGCTACAGATAAGACCAGACCAGGCCTCGGCTCTCACAGCAGTGACACTCTAGCACGATGTCGCCTCCATTAGGCTGGGCCCATGCACAATGCAGGTAATGAATCCCCGTTTTGTGTCCAATATGTGGTGTCCCCCTGGGAGATGCCAAGGAGACAGAAAAAAATGAGACAGGCCACTCACCACCTGAGAGCACCTGTGCCATGCGCAGAATCTTCTCTATGATTTTTGGATGAAGAAATTACGGGAATTATTTTTATTCCCATTTTGTGGTAAGAAAATAAAGACAGAAAACAATTAATTCAATTAATTCATATGCCGTGAACAAGGAGCTTGCTTGCCAGAATTCCAGATGAATTCGGTGGAACATAACTGCCTTTGTTCTGAATCACAAAGGGCTTCTTTTCACTCCATTAGCAACACTTCCTACTTGCCAATTTAATATGAAGTATAGATAAAAGAATATGCCAGCAAATTCTGCCATTAGGCAGTGGGGTCTCCATAGCTCAGCACCTGGGACTGGTCACGGTCTGTCATCTTCATTCGAATAAGGATGGTCTAGGGACTAAGTCTATTGTGATCTACGTACTCCCAGTGCCTAGAATAGCGCTTGGCATCTCGTGGGCACTCATAAATACTTTAAATGAAAGAGCAAGCAGACAGGAATAAGCATGAGGAAGAGCATCTTTTCAAGGAGAGGCAGGTAATTCACTCCTGGTCCCCTTGAGTCTTAGGTGCCCACAGGGCATCTAGGTGAGAAAGGTCAATGGACAGCAAAATGTCTGGGGTTGTCAGATGTTACCTCCCAAAGAAACACTGAACAATTCTTTAGGAAGTCATTTTGTTTGAATAACATTACTAGACATATGATGTTCTGTGATAAAAATTTTTGCATTCTGCACAAAAGACATAGCTTTTTACACTGAAGGAAAAAATGTGATTTGCAGAGGAAAGAATAAAATGAAGGAAAACAAAACACAAGAATCTAGAGCATTAAAAACAAAAGTTTAAGCCACATCAAACCAGTATCACTTGGCAGAGACTGAACCCAAAATGATGAACCTCAAAGTTCAGATCTTTGTGAATGATTTTCAGACTATAATGTAGGGAATATCCGAAAATTATCTAGGATTTAGTAAGATTTTGGATGAACCGTTCCATATCTCTCTTAGTTCGTTTTGTGCTGCTGTAACAGAATACAACCAACTGGGTAATTTATAATAGATAGAAACTTACTGGCTCACAGTTTTAGAAGCCTGAGGGGTCAGCACCTGGTGAGGGCCATCTTGCTGCACTATAACCTGGCAGAAGACATCACATGGGAGAGAGAGCATGCAGCAGAGGTCCAAACTCATTCCTTTAATAAGGAATCTGCTCCTGTGATAATAACATTAATCCATTCTATGAGGATTAATCCAGTAATCCATTTATGACCAGAGCCCTCATGGTCTAGCGAGATTGTGGTGTTATGGCATATATATATTTATATTCCATATATATTTTATGTTATGGCATATATATATATTTATATTTATATTATTATTTTTTTTTCTTCCATGGTTCCTGGCTCACAACTGCTACCATCCTTGGGTCTCTGAAGTACTGTCTTCTGTGTGTCTTTGTCAGGTAGGTTTAGGGTGGGGCTGGTCACCAGAAAGACCAAGGTAGGATTAGATAGTTGAGACTTTCAGCCCCAACCCCCAACCTCCAGAATGGGAAGGGGCTGAAGGTCAAGTTGATCACTCTAGCGGATGCTTTAATCAGTCATTCCTATGTAATGAGGCCTCTATGAGAACCCAAAAGGACAGGATTTTGAGAGCTTACTGACAGCTTAACACATGGAGGTTCCTGGAGAGTGGACGATTCAGTGAGGGCACTCAGGGAAAGGAGGCTCTGCATCCCTTCCCACATAGCTCCCATGATGCATCTCTTCATCTGTATCCTTTGTAATACCCTTTATAATAAACTGCTAAACATCGGTGTTTCCCTGAGTTCTGTGTGCCACTCCCACAAATTAATCAAACTCAAAGAGGGAGTTGAGGAAACCCCAACTTGAAGCCGGTCAGTCAGAAGTTCTGGAGGCCCAGACTTGTGATTAATGTGTTAGGAGAGCCAGTCTTGGGGACTGAGTCCTTAACCTGTGGGATCTGATGCCATCTCCAGGTAGATGCTGTCAGAGTTGAATTGGAGAAGAACCAACCGGTATCTGCTGCTTGGTATGTGTGGGAATATTCCCCACACCTTTGATCACAGAAGCCTCTTCCCTGTTGATGACTGCTGTTGTGGTGTGAGAGCACTGGTTGAGAGAGTTTTCTGACACACACCTCTTAAATGTGCCCCCCCTCAACATTGCAGCAAGGGAGGTTAAATTTCCAACACATGAACTCCGGGGGACGCACTCAAATAATGCAGCATTCATATACACCCATGTATAGTCAGAGAGTGGGTTTCACACTAGCCATGTGTACTTATAGACTCCAAATGTTTCTACTCTTTGATCCAGAAATACTACTTCTAAGGCTGTTTCTTAACAAAATAATTCAACTATGTACACCACAGGAGTCATGAATATATTATGTGAGAAAGTGGAAAACTGGAAAATAACTATAAATGTTTAACATTTAGTGAAGAATTAAATAAACCAGGGTATATTCACACCATGGAATATTATGCAATCACCACCCATATGAATCTGACAAGCCAATAAAAACATAGAGAAAGTCTGTGAAATAATGCTGAATTTCAAAGCAGAATATACAACAATTATGGACACTCTGACTGCACCTATGTAAAAAACATTTGAGGAGAAAAAAACCTAAAAGGAAAGGCTCCCAAGTGGTAGCAATAAGGCAGCCAGATTATAAATTATTTTTTCTTTTAGAAGGTTTGCTTTATTAATGATTATAAAAATAATTGCTAACACTTACGGGGCGCTTCTAACACTAAGCAATTCATGTGTTCGTTTCTCTTAATAATAATCCTATCAGATAGATACTATTAATACTCTTATTTTACAAGTAAGAAAATTGAGGTTTAAAAAGACTGAGTAGCCAAAATCACACACCGATTAGATGGTAGCTCTGAGGCTAGTTCTTGATCTGCCTCCTATGAAAGCCCAGGCTTTTAATCACTACATTATACTTCTTTTTTTTTTTCCCAATTGAAAGATGCATTGCTTTGAAAATAAGTCCATAATACAATCAAATGGCATTTCCTTTATGATGAAAAAAAGTACTGAGACCTTAACTGGATTGGCTCTAACTCTTTTAGAAATCTGTGTGGTGAGGGAGAGAGAAGGAAGCCAGTGTAGGGATGGCAATGACTTGGGACAGGCAGGGAGGGAGGAAAGACAGAGACCCCCAGGGTACCCACCTCTCCCGGGGCCTTGTTTGCATAATTCTTCTTGGCAGCCTCCTGGAGTTCCATGGCCTGCTGGATGTACATTTTCCCAGCGAGGATTTCATTTTCCAGCATCGACAGCTCTTTCAATGAAATGGGCCAATTCAACCGTTGTAAAGCCTGGTTTAAAACTGTTTTGTTTTCCAAGTACCGTATTGGTTTGTTTGCATCTAACCTAAAAAACAAACAAACGAGCAAAAAAGAGAGGAAGAAACAAAAAGCAAAGAAAATGACCATAATTGAAAAAACTATGGTAAGATGGTTGGTTAAGAAACTCTCCCCTGAGAAACATCTGTTGAAGCAAGTGTCAGGTGTCAGATGACAATGTCATAGCCATGCCCTCTGGTCCAACAGGACTTTGGTAGCTTGCAAAGGTTAAAAATAACCTTTAATTAATCTCTGTGAATTATGATAAGCACTTTTCCCTATTACCTCATTAGGTTATCTGATTTTAAAAAATATGATACACACACATTATTCAGCATTTTTCCTCCATATTTGGAGCCTAACATCTGGCAGAACCAAGCATGAGCTTCAGTGAAATTTCACACAACTATGCCTAGCAGTGACTCTGAAAAACAAAGTAAAGCAAAACTAAACAAACCCAAATATTTTCCTCAGTGCAGTAATTCTTATACTAGCTCATTTTAGCTATTTTTATCTCCTTTCCTCTTTGCAAGCCTAAATAAGTCTAAACTATTTGGCTTTGCTGTTTTGGTACATAAAGAGCAGAAGCCAAACTTTCTATGGCTGAAAAGCAGGCTGTAGGACTCCAGAGGAAGCTGGCGTGGTGTGATGGCCCAGGTCCTGGATTCTATTTCCAGTCTGAGCTTCTTCTGAGTCAGACACTGCTGGAAGGGAAGGGGCAGGGAGAAAGAAAACAATTCACGATTTTCACTCTTATTGCTGAAAGCATCACTTATTTCTTTAGATGTTGGATATTGGAAGAGTACAGTCTAAATTCAGCACAACCACAGGACTCAATCCACAGACAAACTCGTACCCAGAAGACAGCAAAACATTCTGATTGGAATGATGTCAGCAAGTTAGTAGAATAAAAACCCAGGACCTCATCCCCCTACAGAGACACTGACTTAACAATATATGAACCATATTGCCTTTGTGAGAATTCCAGAAACAAATTAAGAGTTTTCTTTGTACTTAGACAAGTACAAACCCAAGAAGAGCTGTATCAAGGACAGTAAGGAAGTTCGCTGCATTTTGCCTGCCCTAACCCTTCTTCCTCCTCCTCCCCAGGACAATGTGATGCAATTGGAAGAAAACTCCCCAATCCTGGGTTCTCCTTTGGAGAAGAGGGTGGAATACACATTCACAATTTTTGTGGGACTTCCCAAGAAACAGGCGTCTGTCTTGCCTGATTCAGAGTGGTGATGAAAACAGTGGTACATTTTGCATGTCAGTTTGAGACCTCTGAGAATAGAAATCAGTGCCGCAGCTTGTTCTATCCCTGGAGATACTGCAGTACTTCAGAGAGACACCAGGGAGAGCAAGATATAAAGGCTCCTGAAAGAAAAGTGGCAAACCTCTTTCAAATGGAAAATTACACACAGAGAGGACACATCCCCAGAAAAGGTTTCAGAGATTCTCCCAAGTCTCTAGCTGGGATAATTGGTGTAGCCCTTCACTTGTAAGAAGGCAGTTTGTAAAAATAGGATGAGATAGCCGTTTTTTCAAATGCCATAATATCAACTAAATATCGTAAGGCATACAAAATACAGGAAAAAGCACACAAAGATATGGGGAAATGGCCCAATTAAAGGAACAAAATAAATCTTTAGAAATTGATCCTAAAGAAATGGATATATATGGATTACCTGAAAAATAATTCAAAACAACCATGTTAATGATGCTCAATGAGCTAAAAGGTAACAGAAACAACTAATAGAATTCAGAAAAGTGATGCATGAACAAAATGAGAATATCAACAAAGAGATAGAAACTGTAAAAAAGAACCAAGTAGAAATCCTAGAGCTGAAGAATACAATAACTGGATTGAAAAATTCAATAGAGGGGCTCAACGGCAGACTTAATCAAGCAGTAGAAAGAATCAGTGAACTTAAAGAATAGGTTTTAAGTCATAAGTTGTTATAAGAATGAAGAATAGTATATAATGGTAAAAGGGCCAATCCACTAAGAGGATATAACAATTATGAAGATATGTGAACCTGGCATCAGAGCTCTCAAATACATAAAACAAACTTTGACAGAATTAAAGAAATAGACAGCAACCCAGTATTATCAGGAGACTTCAAGCTCCACTTTCAATAATGGACAGAACAACTACAGAGAAGATCAATAATGAAACAGAGGACTTGAAAAACACAGATCAATTGGACCTAACCAATGTATAGAGAACACTCCACCACCAACAGCAGAATACACATTCTTCTCAAGTACACATAGAATATTCTCCAGAATAGACTGAATATTAGGCCACAAAACAAATATTTTAAAAAAGAAAGTTGAAAGCAAAGTATTTTTTCTGTACAAAATGAAATGAAGCTAGAAACAATAACAAAAGGAAAACTGGATAATCCAGTTATTAAATCATATACTCTTAACCAATACGTCAAAGAAGAAATCACAAGGGAAATTAGAAGCGATCTTGAAACAAATGAAGGGAAAAAACACAACATATCAAAATGTATGAGATGATGTGAAAGTAGTACTAAGAAAGGAGTTCATAGTGCTAAACACATTTTAAAAGGAGGAAGTTCCCAAATTTAACTTTACTTTTCAAGGAACTAGAAAGAGAATAAAATGAAAGTCCAAGTTAGCAGAGGAAAGAAAATAATAAAGATTAGAAATAGAGTACAGAAAAACAATAGAAAAAAAAATCAATGAAAGCAAGATTTTTTTTTTGAGACAACCAACACAATTGACAAATGCTTAGCTGGATTAACCAAGAAAAAAAAAGAGAAGACTCAAATAACTAAAATCAGAATGATTTTCCATGTAGAAAGTGGAAACATTACAACTGATGACACAGAAATTAAAAGGATTATGAGACTACCATGAACAATATTATACTGACAAATTGCATAACCAAGAAGAAATGGATAAATTCCCAGAAACATACTGCCTACTGCTAAGACTGAATCATGAATAAATTTTAAAAATCTGAACAGATCTATAACTAGTAAAGAGATCAAATCAATAATTAAAAGCCTCCTAACATATAAAAGCCCAGTACCACATGGCTTAACTGGAGAATTCTGCCAAACAATGAAATTATTAATACCAATTCTCCTCAAACCTTTTCCAAAAGATTAAAGAGGAAGAAATACTCTTAACTCATTTTATGAGACTGGAATTATGCTGATGCCATAATCAGACGAAGATGCTATAAAGTGAAAGAAACTACAGACCAATATTCTTGATGAACAGTGATGTAAAAATCCTCAACAAAGCAATAGCAAACTGAATTAAACAGTACATTAAAAAGATAATCACCATGGAAAAATGGGCTTTATTCCTGGAATGCAAGGATAGTTCAACATATGAAAATTAAGGTAATATACCACATTAACAGAATGGAAAACAAAACCCACATGATTATCTCAAGTGATACAGATAAATCATTTGACAAAAGTCAACATCCTTTCATGATTAAAAAAACACTCAGCAAACTAGAAATAGAAAGAAACTACCTCAACATAAGGACGCCTACAGCTAACATTGTACTCAATAAAGAAAGACTGTAAGCTTTTTCTCCAAGATCAGAACAAGGCAAGAATGTCCACTCTTGCCCCTTTATTTAACATAGTACTGAAGTCTTAGAGAAATTAGGCAGGAAAAAGAAATGAACAACATCCAAATTAGAAAAGAAGAAGTAAAATTATCTCTGCTGGTAAAGGACATGATTTTCCACGTAGAAAACCCTAAAGATTCCACAAATACTGTTAGAACTAATAAATTCAGTAAACTTAAAGGACATAAAATCAATGCACAATATCAGTTATATTTCTATACACTAACAATGAACAATCAGATAAGGAATTAAGAGAATAATTCCATCTACAATAGCATCAAAAATAATAAATTATAAATAACTTTAAGGAGGTGAAAGATTAGTACACTGAAAACTACAGAACGTTGCTGAAAGAAATTAAACGAGACACAAATAAAAAGACATTTTCTGTTCATGGATTGAAAGACTTAATTGTTAAAATGTCCATACTACCCACAGTGATGTACAATTCAATGCAATCCCCATCATGACCCAGTGATATTTTTTGTATAAATAAAAACACCCTAAAATTTATATGGAATTGCAACAGATACTGAATAGCCAAAATGATCTTGAGAAAGAAGAACAGATTTGGCAGCCTCATACCTCCTGATATCAAAACATATTACAAAGCTACAATAATCAAAATAGTGTACTGTCTTTAATGTAATCAAAGCAGTGGTACTGGCATAATGACAGACATATTGAATAATGGCACAGAATAAAGAGTCCATAAATAAGCTCTCATATCATCTTGCCAAGTGATTTTTGACAAGGGTGCCAAGACTACACAATGGAAAAATGACAGTCTCTCCAAGAAGTGATTCTGGGCAAACTGGTTATCCATATGCAAAAGAATGTTGAACTTTTCATTTAAAACAGACATAAAAATTAACTCAAACTGATTAAATATCCAAGCCTATAAATCTCCTAGAAGAAAACAGGGATAAAGTCTCATTATACTGAATTTGACAAGCTCTTTTGGATATGACACCAAAAGTGTAGGCAGCAGAAGCAAAAACAGACAAATGGGACTATGTTAAACCTAAAACTTGTGCATCAAAGAAAATAGCTTCAAATCAACAGTGAAAGAACAACCTAAAAATGGGAGAAAGTATATGAAAATCATAAATCCAAGAATGGGTTAATGTCCAGAATATATAAAGAACTACAACTTAACAACAACAACAACAACATAATCCAATTTAAAAATGGGTGAAGGGCTTGACTAGACATTTCTCCAAAGAAGATGTACAAATATCCAGGAAGCATGTAAAAAAATACAGAAACACAAATCAAAACCACTATGAGATAACCTTCATATCCATTAGGCTGCTTCAAAACTAAACCAAATAGAAAATAGGAAGTGTTGCCAAGGGTGTGGAGAAGGATTCATGAAGCTCAGAAAACTTCAAGCAGGATAA